AATACCACACATAGACAGATTTGTCTAGGATCAAACAAAAAAGAACTGATCCTTAAAAGAAATACCAAAAAACTAAGAAGCCTCTACCAGGAGAAAAAAGGAGAAACATCTCCACCTTGTGTTAAAGTCAGTGTTCAGCATGTGGAAAGAAAACATCTTGTGCTGCAGTTCATCATCTTAAAGTTAAGCATAGTTAAGGTTATTGTGTAACCCAAGCATAGACTGTATGTGCTCAAAAGGAAATGTCTTAAGCAAGATGATTAGAAAACCCACACATATATATGTAAAACAGTAACTTACTGTATTTTTGCTATTTCCTTCATACAACTCCCTCATTTCCATCTACCCTTTTCTAAATGCTTAATCTAATTCAGGGTCTTGGGGGAGCCAGAGCCTATCCTGGCTAGCAATGGGCGCAAGACAGGATACACCCTGGACGGGACACCATCACAGGGCACACAGAAATGTACACACTCACACCAGGGCCAGTTTTCCTAGAAGCCAATTAACCTACCAGTGTGTCTTTGGGCTGTGGGAGGAAGCCCATGCAAACACGGGGAAAACAAAGAAACTCCACTGGCTACTCTGCCACCATGTTGCTCTCTTTTAGAAACCAAATAGTCTAAATTAACCCCAAGTGGAAATGTGTCACTTAGCCCTCCACCAATTAACTAATTAAACAATCAATCTACATGTTACCTATGTATATACAATAGATCATCCCACAAAGCCCACTTTAATCACATAACTCTGCGAATTTGAAACCAACACTGTGATCCTGAGTGTAAAGAAGTGTCTCCTCTGCTAGTTTGTACAGTATGTTCTTGAATGTCAATTACGCTTGTGTCCCTGGGTCTTTATATCGCTGGTGCCTTTGATCTTGAAGAAGCCCAATGATTTGACTTGGTCAGTGCCAGAGAACATATTGTATACCTAGATCAAGCCTCCCAAATGATTTAGACCAACATCAAAACTCATAACACAGATATGAACCAAGTGAAATGAGCCAAGGGTAATACTAACCACAGTGAAATGAACCAAAGGCAAGACTAACAAATACTCTTATTTGTGAAGGGTAAGTTTGTGTTACACAGGAACAAGTAAATGTTTATTCCATGCTGAAATGAGAAACATAACTTTTCGGCTGTGGAGCCTTCTTTGGGCGTCTTTCTTTTTTCAGCATGGAATAAACCTTTACTTGTTCCTTTGCAGCCTACGCATGCTGACACAGCTACCTTCTTGAACTAATTTGTGTTACACTATCATTTTAATCTGCATCTATTTCTTGGACCCTGGTACTTCCCTTATTGTACACTATTCCTTTAACATCTGTCAGGTTCCCAGCACAAAATAACTGAAGTTGTGCAGTTTTGTATTATTAAATGGCTCTGCTGTTGTAGTTACACGTTAGAAAGCTGTCTCAGCCTTATAATGACTGAGAGTAAAATAATACTCTATTACAATGTCCAATAGTTAAACAAGAGTAGCTGAGGCAAAATGCCATCAAAATATGTGCTGTCACACTTGATTTTGATCCTGATAAAATCTATTAGTCAATTATATTGTACATCCCCTCTTTTAAAAGAATTTGGTGAGATTTTCAAGTATCCACATTATGTTGAAGTACATACATATTAGGAATATGTGTAAGTGATAGAATGAATATTGATTTTTCATTTTCAATCTTGCACAAATACAGAGACTAGTGGACCAGATGAAGTTCTTTAAATGTATACTGAGCATCAAAGTAATGTCACTTATCCATATTCCAAGGATAATTACACTTTTTGCAGCAGGTGGTGCACAGTTTATTAATCACCCTAATGAATGTCTGTTAGGTCTAATATCAACAGGATTAATCCTTAGTGGGGTCTACCATGAAAATCACAGGATAGCATGTGTGGCCACTGTAGAATATAAACCATATATCTGCAATGTATGCTCACCACTATGCATGCAGATGCTGTATTGTATTAATATATACATTCTTCACGCAGAGCCTGGATAAACAACTGCCTGTTAACTGCTTTAACTGTTGCAATCTTATCTTACGAGAAAGCTGTTGATGTCTGCCGTTCTGTCAAAATGCTGCCATTCCAGGATGAGCCTGCAAAAAGGGCAGCAAGCGAGGTTCAGGGACTTGATCCAAGTAGTACCATGTAGTCAAGCTGCCATTAATCACTACAAGTTAAACCGTGCAGCCACTGGACACTGCTACTCAGACCATCACATTTGGACCTAACTATTGACTGATCTGTTGTACACAATTAGCATCCTGTACCACACCCATGTGTGTGTCCATCAGACACAAAATCCTGATTAATTTCTAAAGAGGATCTGACTTCAATGCCGGTATGTCACTGCAACAGTCAATGGATGGTAACACAGTCATGGAATACTAATGGAGCAAAATGATACCATTTAATAAGCATTTAATCAATATCCAAAAAACAAATGCTGTATTCTTCTAAAAAAAACAAGTACATGTATACCTATGACATCCCTAAAGGAACTGCAGTCTTCCTGAGATGGGGGGTGTAGCAGCGAGGCTTAATAATAAGGCAGAATTAAGTGTTTCTGAGCTTCCCAAATGAGGCCCCATTTCTCTGTTCATCTCTGTGGTGCAGCCACAGAGAAACCATTCATGCAAGATGTTTTCTTTTGATAAGGACAGCTCCCAAAGGGGGATGCACTTAGCTAAGCCTGGCTATCATGATCAATGGTCATCCATTGGCGCCTATCTGTCTAGGGAGGGCCAGATGGACATCTGGACTGCATTACTAAGTGTCAGGAGTAAGTGACTCATATCTCACCTTGATCAACCAATCAGGGACTGGTAGGGCCGAGTAACCCACGTGGGACTCTGATGCCCATGGAACTTTCAGCCAATCAATGAGCTGAAGTTCCTCCAGGTAAAAACAGGCAACACAGAGAGCCTGTGAGATTCAGATTCAGATTCAGATTCAGAACAAGATTCAACAATTCTAAAGGGAATTCAAAGGAGAATCCCAAGGGCAGGACATTCTCGCAGCGCGCCTCCTGACCATCCTGAGACTCAGCCCGGACAACCACGGAACGGCCAGGGTGTCCGAGTGACAGAACTTTCCTTTGTTCTAAGAGTCTAGAGTGGAGGTTGCCAGAGAGTAACCAGCAGCAGGCCTCGTGAACAGGTCGGAACTGTGGACAGCTGAATCACTATTCAGAACTAGCTCTTCATCAGGAACGAACCAGTCCTCTTCCTGACTTGCTGGGACCCACAGTCATCTTTTCTCCTGTGCACAAACTTTGCTAGTTAAAGCCAACAATGAGCATCAGCAGCTCACCGTCGCAAGCCGCACAGCACAGCCTGGCACGGAGCCAGAGAGCGCGGATTGGTCAGCAACAGCCTGCAACTGTTTCTTTGTGCCCGCAGGAGATCTGAATCCCCAAAGATTGGATGAGTATTCAACTTCAATGCATTACAGCTCGAGAATTCAATTGTTATCCCAACCAGCTGATATCAATTTAATTCCTAAGAGTTACGTACTTGTTTTGAGTATCTAATGTAGAAGTTGTAACCAAGTTCATTTATGAAACGGTCTTAATGAATGATATACTGAACGTATGTCCTCTTGATGTGTAACACTTCGTAACTGACTGAATATATATCTTTTGTATTCTGATAACCCTCTCGATAAGATCTGTTAGGTTTATATGCATATTCTATGTATTAATAAATGTATCCTCGTGTATTAGTACCTGTGTGTGTGCGTTGTTTGAGTTATGTCGCATGGTTGGACTCTAAAGCCATCAAAAGAATCAACTTTGTGATTTACTGCTACAATTAATAATTGTCTCAGTAAATGCCCAAACCCTACAGAACTGGTGCCTTCAGAGAGCCACTATGATTACATATTTGGCGTCCCTGAACCGGTTTTCCCTACAGGGGTATTTTACATACAACAATTACCGGGGTGCTTCACAAATCTGGCCTACAAGGGAGATTGGCAAACGAAAGCCATTCTTGAAAATAACTTGCATCAAATCTGGACTACAGTTTACCAGAAGGCATGTGGAAGACTGACTGCTAGTGGAATAAGATTCTCTGGTCCAATGAAACCAAAATTGACATTTTGGCCTCAACACTAAGCACTATGTCTGGTGTAAGGGTAACTCTGCATGTCACACTGAGAACCATCCCTACTGTGAAGCATTTCAGTGGCAGTAGTGCAGCAGTCTACAAGAGACCTAGGACAAAATCAAAGTCATATGTATGCAGTAGATTATAAGCGATAATTCCTGTTTTATATTGATAATTTGGGATCTGTAAACTTTTTTCACTTTGACATTATAGTGTTTTGTGTAGATCATTGACTAAAATCTCAATTAAATACATTATAATTCCATATTGTAACAGAATAAAATACAAAAAGGGTGGGAATATTTTTGATATTTTTAACCAAGTTTGACTGAATTATTACTGTTTTCACCAAAGCTGTGCCAGAGAACAAAGAATTCAAGTGCCTCTAATTATACCATCCACTTGGATATATTCTGGGAGAAATACAATACTTTCAAGTTAATAATTAATAATTGCTTACACACTTGCATAGCGCTTCGAGTGGAGTGTTCAGAAAAGCGCTATACAAGTGTAAGCAATTATTAATTTACAGGTAATGGGGACTCCCCTCCACCACCACCAATGGTGGGAGTTATGATTATTTAATTATTGACTAATCTGTTCGTTCAGTTCCTGATTTTGTCTATTTTCATAACCCCCCATTGGTACCAATGTAGTCATAGTCTTTTCATAAAAAATATTTTTCTCACAAAACTGGTTATTTTAAATAAATGTTTTAAAGAAATGAAATGTTTTAGCATACCTTTTGGAATTTCATTCATTAAAGTAATTCATTTCACTAAATATCTAAACCCAATGCTGTGCACAGCATGTCACTGATGAACATTCAGTTTATCAATCATAAGTCATAAGCCATTAATATAGGAAAAAACAAATGAAGTTTGGAAAATAAAAATCTTTAATAAATGCCCAAAAGATGGGTTAACAAATTCACTTATGACACCACCCATCATAGAACCTAAACAACTGCATACTGCTGATAGAGAAGTTCTCGTATTTTGTAATAGTCTTCACAGAGGCAGCCTTCTAAGCCTATTCGTCCAGTTTCGGTCTGAAAAGTAAAGAAAAAGACAATTAACAAATGGCTTTAACGTGCTATTTATAAAAAAAAGTGGAAATGCCTAAAGCTATTTTGCAATGTGCACAACATTTCCAGGAGCTTTCAACTTTTTTGGTTCAGAAGGTATTTTTTCAAGAAAATCTTCGATTTCTATGAAAACAGTAAATCACGTTAAATTAAATCATGTTAAAGTAAATCATGCTAATTCTAACTTCTCAAATGCAGACTTAGTTACCAACAGACTGACCATAAATTCTCTCTGATTACATTCATCATGAATATTGACAAGTTGTTAAAAATGGGTTTGAACAATCTAACTCACATAAACCCAGACCTCTGGTAAAAATGTTTGTGTTATGGTTACTGTAAGATTTTCTTACCCTGCGCACAGCTACCAGGTTATTACACACCAAGACTCCTCCTACAAACTCAGCCTGGATTCCTTCTCTTAGCAACACCTGCTTGAAATCAGACAGTCTGGGCTCGTTAATAAAGACCGCCTGATGCCCTGGAACCTGAAAAGGAGAGCAGAACAGAACGGCCTTATAACAAATTTGACAGGAAACACAACATGGACAACAATTTAAGGTCAATAATTTTATGTAATCCCACCGCTGGATACAGACACGCGGGTGGTGATTCATCTGAACCCAAGCGCAAGAGACAGAGAGTTAAATGTGAAGGGTGATTATGAGAATAAAATACTGGCCAGCAAGGCTTATCAGCCCAAGCCAGTCAGTAATGGGGGGAAAACATCAATCCCAGGAGAAGCCGGGCTAACTGCATCCTTGGCGAAAAGAAAGGCTGCTAAATACAGCCCATCAGAAATGGAGTCTTGGGTACGGAAGGAACCCGAATTGCAAGAGCCCTGAAAAGAAACTGAATGGGCTTAGAAGGCAGCACTCAAAAGGGTCAGGGGTACAGATCAGCAAACTCGGTGAACAGCAAAAAGAGAACGTGAAGATAAAAAGTGCTGGCTAGAATAGAGACTACTGCCTGAGGTGCTGTGGGGTGCAGGGTAAAAACTGGAAGTCTTGTGTATGGGAGGAACCGAACTGCGGGCTTCCTGGGAAAGGAGCTGGACACCTAGAAGGGCAGACCTGAAGCCTGATCGCGAAAATGTGATCCGGTTAGAGCATCAAAACCCTGGAAAACCATAAGCCCTCGTGAGAATATAATGGTTTCCAAGGGCAACCGCTAGTGGAAGGAGGCAGTCATCACACTTTAATGATGGCCTCGTCATATTTTGTTTAAGTTATAGAAATTGGTATTATCCCTACTGCAGTCTACAATATGTATTAAATTAACTGTTGGGTCAAATTCATCAAAACATTTTTAGTAATGATTCACCTCCATTTCTGAAAATGATAAATCCCCATACCATTTTATTCTTGTCTTTTTACTATTTTTTCAAAGGGGTAATAGCATGGATTATATTTAGACTCAGGAGGATCCTGATAAGAATTTCTCATTAACGTTTATGAGACTTTCTCTCATAAACCTATGTGGAATAAAGCTAATGTGCAGAAAATACATATAATTATTAGTCAGGCTTCTTTTCCTTTTTCATATAGTCAGAATTTACATTATTCCTCAATTACTGTCCTTATATTGTCTAGTTTCACTAGCATCAATGAGATTACTACATTCATTACTAGCTTAACTGAGTCAACATCAGCATTAGGTAATATTTTAAAGAAGTGACACTGATCTAGACTCTGGAAAAATGAGAAAATATCTAGGCAGATACAAAGCTAATAATGTCAGGTGCAGATAAGAGCAATGTAGTACATGCTGTTTGCAAGAAAGAATTTATGTTGTGAAAATAAAATGGGAGGTACAGAACTAGAAACAGCAATCTATTAGGAATTAGGAAAAGTCATCAACAACACTTGTTGATCTTCAATAAATCAGAAATACTCCTGATATCCTGAGATCAGTTTTGGTCACCATGCTACAAAGACTTTGCTGCCACCTGAAGTTTAGCCAAGAGCAACCAGAATAAATTCCTGGAGTAAAATATCATACATAAATCAATCAATCTATAAAGTCTTGAACAAAGACTATTACTAGGGGGCTTGAATCAATATGTGAAAAGAAAAGAAAAGCTGCAATAAGACAAATAATGAACCAAGCATGCAAGTGGAAGTTAAATGTAGGTACTTTCAACAGTGCAGACATGAATTGCTCACTTGTGCATCTGGAAACAACCGTTTTGTGATTTTGTTCATTCTGGCTCCCTAGGATCCTGGATATTTAGCATTGCATTATCAAAGTGGCTATCACACACCTTTAAGGCTCTTCTTTGGTTCTGTTCTAATTTTTTAAAAGTTTGTTCACAATACTGTAACTATTTCTATCATATACCATTTTTATGCCAGCACACATGCTGCACCAACAAGCCTCCAAGCAAAGCCACTCGCCCTTTGACACATCACGAGCTCCACTGTGGCTGACAGGAGAGTCTCTATTGAGAACAGGAGCACTGTCACTCTCACTGATGTCAGCCAGTGGGTGCAAGGAGCTTATGTTTTCCTGGTAATCTTAGAAAGTTACAGACAACTGATCCCAATCCCATCCACTTCAGCTCAAGGAACCTTGGTCACAGTCAGCCAGTGAAATGACCCACTGCCTACACTGTCATTTCCATGGAGGTCAATCTGCCCTGGAGGTGAACACCTTTTCTGGTTTAGACTCTTGGTAAACCCTCTATAAAGTGTTTTCATTTACCCTTACATGACTGCTGCTGAGCTGGCATGAGAATTCACAACGCAACATGTTCTAAGGCATTTGACATGGTCTCACCTCATTTGAGGGCAAGGGCTCCAGAGTGGGGATGATATCGCTGTCCTCAGAAATTTCTTTCTCATCATCACCAAAGAGGGTCTTCATTGCCTTTTGCTGGGCAATGGCACTTGGGTCAGAGGTCAGGGAAGAAGAGGCAATGTCCATGGGCAGCTCGCCTTCATCAGTCTCCTCTTTGATATCTCCCTCTTCGATGATCACGCCAGTGTCCACTTTGATGACTCTCATGTCCAGCACGCCATCAATCCAGGCCAGCTCTGTGTCCTTGGCTTTGCAAAACTGCAGGGAGCTCACTAAGGAATCCTTCAGCCTCACCTGAACACACAGCCAGAACAGAACCCCAGGAACAGCAAAACAAACTCATCAACAAAGGCATTCTGAAATGTCACTAAAGATTTTTGTGATTAAGATATAATACATATAAACAATGTTTACATCAAATAAAATGTGAATGATTGTTACAGAGTACACATTTACATGTATGGAACAGAACACAATAGATGTTATGTTAGAATGGATATCAGCATTAGATTGTATATCACAAAGAGTGGTAAGCTTTTCAAATTTAATTATCTGAAACCCCAATAACCTACCCAACACATATATCTTTTATGTCCTTTATTTATGTTCTATTTAATGTTAAATAAATGTTCACAATCATCCTTCTTTACTCTTTAAGAAAGAAGACTATAACAGGGCTTTGCAGAAGTATTTAAAAGACCAAAAGTGAAACAAAGTGACAAACCCCTGCCTTGCTGTAGCTTGGCTCCAGGGATCTGTGCACTTAAAATACCCCAAAGACCAAGGTCCAACTCTTAACCTGGTTTTTATCTTAAAATTGTTTAACACTAGGTTATCGCTTTAAAGGTCATAAACTTCCTAAACTTAAAAAAAACTTTTTGGTAAAGAAAGTCCCACCACAACTAACTCCCAGCCATCACTATCACCATGCAAGGCCTTTATATATCAAACACACTAATTAAACTCATGTGAGGATGTGTAAAACAACTTCCCCATACACCTAGTGAGGGTATTACCATCAATTAAGAGGTCTTTTGGGGTTGAATTTGTAAGCTGTTTTTAGGCTATTACATTCTCATATGGCTTAACTGTAACACTGAGTATAGAAATGCCAGTCACAATGAGCATAAAAATATAACAAAAACATTATGACAATGATGCCAATAATGTCTTACCCTGACTGTAGATGAGTTAACCTTACCTGGTAGATATGAGTCTCACTAGTTGCGTCCACAGTTTCCTGATGCTTGGGTGTATAAATCTTAATGTCCTTCCCACTGAAAGCCTTGCAGGACTCAGCAAGGTCCTGGCTGGCTTCAGGCGGGCCGTGCACAATTACTAACTGTCGAGGCTTCATCTGATTTATAATCTTTTTAATTGAATCTCCATCAGAGCGTCCCTCATAGTCTATGTATGTAATTCTCGCCCTAGAAACCATACATGGAAAATCATGATCAGTACAGTAATGCTTTTTCTTGCTGCATAACTAAGAAGAGGAGATTCAAACCACATAGGTGCTTCTAGAAAAATGACTTCACCTTTCCTGCCACAGTCTCTTGAAGAACCAAAGAACAAAGCACAGGGGTCTCCAACCCTGGTTCAGGGTTGCCCCAATTCACTTATTTTTATAGGTACTGCTAAATATTTAAAAATTAGGAACACTTGTCCTCAAGGACTGAAATATATTCCAATTTGTGTTACAGATTATCTCTAAATTACTTGAACACATCGCCTGTTTAACTGCTCACATCCATACTTTTAGAAATTCCTGATTTAAAACCTTCAGGACAAGTGGTCTCCAGGGCCAGGGCTTAATTTAAAAATAGTACGTCAACAGCAATATTTTTGGTTAGGAATTGTAAAATGCAATGTCAGCCAGTGAAGCGGGGACAACACTGAAGTCACGATACAACGTTCTTTTTGGTGATAACACTACTAGCTGTATTACAAGCAACCCACAACTGTAATTAAGTAAAGCCCAGTTTTTTTGCTCTCTCATTTTTTTTGCACTTGCTTACATTCTCTTCCTGTTATCATGGATGTATGGTATCTTTGAGGTCCTCAGTAGAGCTGAGTAACAGAATTTATGATATTACAAGAAATTAAGGGGAGTAAAACAAGATTTTATAAAATCTTTCTTAAAAACTTGTTGCTATTAAATTATTAAAATGAGGGGTAGAGGTGTTAAACCCTTTAATAATCTGGTTTACCTAAAATTTTCCAAATTCTCTTGATTCAATTGGTGAAGCAATTTTTCTGTTCTCCACCTGTTGCACGTCAGTGGAGGATGACATGAATCCCATCCTATACGTGAAGCACGTTAGGACCCTTTGCTATATAATCTTAAGTGATTGCAGTTTTCCCACACACTAATTTGCTCTGTGTGGTAGTGCTGGCACAATGCAGTGTCACTTGTGAAGTCAATGTGTTTGTATGACTGGCATCCGTAATAAGACAGAAAACATCTGGCTTGGCAGGCGTCTTTGTTTTAGACATCAGTATCATCAGACGTGGGCTTGCAGCAAAACTTAGATCACTGAAGTACTGCCAACAAGAAAAGCAAAAAGGCCCTGACTAAAAGCCCATTTGCTTAAGTAAAAATTTCCCAGAATCTATAAAGCTGGTAAACTTGGAATTTTACCAGGTTGGAACTTGGAATTTTACCAGTTGGAATGGCAACTGACTTGTGCGGTGCCTCATGAGATATATTTGCGTGTTCATAACCTTGATGGAGAAATACTTTTTGTAGCTTTTCTAAAAGCACATTTCACAGTCAAGAAACTATTTCTCATGGTTTCATGTTCTAACAATGGTTTTGTGATCTAACACTCACTTGATTTCCAGGGTTTCTGTTGATGAAATGCACTTTGTTGGCACATCAGACAGATCTTGGTCCATCGGTTCCTCCCCGTTCGTCATCCCTGATTCCAGCTTGTTCTTTTCTTCCTCTGTGGCTTGTAGCTCAGGGACCAAAAAATCTTCAGGCCTTGAAGCACAAAAAATAAAACTTTTTTTTTTAACGGAGAACATTGCAACTTGTACTTTAAAATCCTCTAATCAAAACTGGAAAGCCAACATACACTAATCTCAAAAACATAACAAGTGTAGCAAGTGAAAACAAGTGTTATTCATGTCAATACTCATGTGTTGCATTTTAATACTTTTTGGTACAAAGTTACAAACAAGAAGAGGCCTTTCAAGGCCTTATCAAGCTTGCTTGGTTGCTTGTAGAAAATCTTATTCAGCTTTAGGAATTCAGGATATAACTTTCAACAATATGACAAGGTAGCTTTTTGCAACTCTTTCGGCTCCTGGAACTCTTTCTGAAGTGCTCCTCTTCTCAGTATTCAATGCAATATGTGTTGAATTAAAACAAGCTTTATAATCATGTCCTTTACCTCCAATTTGTGCCAAAGAAGTTTTCAATACATATGAAAGAAACCTTTAACGAAGATCAGAGATTGTTTCTGGGGAATATTTACTATGACTTTTGCTACAAATGTAATAAGAAAACAGCACAGATTTGGTGTAAAGGTTACCTTATAATTTCTCCATATTCATCCCATTTTATTCTCTCTTCATGGGCTGGAAACATGGGGTAGGATTTCTTGGCTTGTTTGAAGAAGCTTCCCTTCCGGTTCCCCTCTCCCTTCATCATGAGGTCATGGTGCTTGGCCTTGCCGGTGGAGGGCTGTTCCAGGTCTTCCTCAATGTCACTCTCATCACTGGAGTCCACATCCACCCTGACAGGGAAAATACATCAGAACATAAGACAGGTTACAAACAAATGGTCAACTACTCCTCCTGGCCTGTATGGTAGTTAGAAGTTATCTCATCCAAGGATCTTATCCAGCTGTTTCTTGAAAGCAACTACAGGATGTCAGTGTTTTAAGAACATGGCTGTTTACCTTCTTCCATATTTCTGTATAATACTGCATACATGTTTTCTGCATAAATATTCACAGTTTTAAAAACTTTCCTTCTGCACCTGTGTCCTTTGATTTGTGATTCACTGCTCATTCTTAAGAAATCTGCAGGGCTGACTTTGTCAATCCCTTTGAGGATTTTGAATACGTGTATCAGTCCCTCTTGTAGTCTGCTCTGTTCAAGACGAAAAACGATTAGTTCCTTTAACCTGTTAGTGTAGGACATTCCCTGTGGAAAGGTTTGGAATGTATCGGGTTAGTTTTCTTTGGAATGATTACAGAGCAGCTATATCTTTTCTATTATGTGGTGATAAAAACTGTACACAATTTTCTAAAATAGATCTGTATGACTTCAGATCTTAGCTTGAAGTAGATCTTTTCTGTGCAGCTGGGGAAGTCTACTTACTCTTTTGCCTGCTCAAGCTTTTTGGCTGCTTCTTTTTTCATTTTTTCCTTTTCAAGGTATTCTTCAAGCTCCCGGCCTTCTAACTTTATCCGCTTTCTTACCTGTAACAGCATAAAAGCACAAAGGCAAATGCAAACTGAGCATCTTTTATTTCAAACCTTTTGCTTTTTACCACTTATACACTAAGATGCAGATCTCAAAGAGTTTTCAATGCTTCTCACTGTAGCCTTTTTTGATCAAGATGAAAAATGTTCAACACTTTTAGCCAATCAGAGCAGTACATTTCTCTAAGCTCACTATATGCTGCTCTTCTCTGAACTGATTCTAGAACAGCAATAGCTTTCTTATATTCAAAAGTGATCTTACAAGTGCATTGTAAAGTTTTAACATCATCTTAAATTTCACTACTACACTTTTAACTATATATCTTAATATGGACAGCACAGTGGCACAGCAGTTGGCATTTCTGCCTTGCAGCACTGGGCCCCTGGGCTCAGTTCCTGGGGTGCCATCTGCATGGAATCTGTATGTTCTAACCTGTGTTTGCGTGGGTTTCCTTCCTACAGTCATAACATATACAGGTACGTAAACTGACGTCTGTACATGTGTGAGTGAGTCCATATGCGCCCTGTGATAGATTGGCTTCCCCTCTAGGGTGTGTCCTGCATTGCGCCTGTTGCTTGCTAAGTTAGGCTACGATTTCCCCCCTACACTGTATTGGATAAAGTGGTTTGGATAAGAAAAAAGGATGAAAGGAAATCCTAACAGGATTTTTTATTACCTACTCACATTGACTGGAATATAAAAATTATGTTATTACATAAGTTTAAGCTAAACCTAAGTTTATAATATTCTCCAAACTTGGTGTTTTCCACTTTATATTTGTGGTGTGCATGTCTATCACTTGCACAGAACACCTTACTAATCATGGAGGCTTTTTTTAAAAGCCATAAGAAAATCAGGGGAGACCTCTCCACATCCCAGAGACAAGGTGCCTAGTCTCACTTCCTTCAGGCTCTCACCTCCAGATCTATGATCTTCTCCCCAGGGTTATCAATGAGATACCTCGCAAGTGTACCCGGAGTGGTTCTATAAGTCAGGATGACTGAGTTCTTCGGATCCCGGCACCACTGGATGAACAGCTCACGGGAGAACCCCGACTCCAGGTCCGGCTGGCTGGCTAGAACCACTTTGGGACTGGGAACCCGGGCCAGGTCTGAGAGGCTGTGGCAGAGGGACAGGTGCCGAAACTGGAAGGGGTTGTTTCTCTTGTCCTCAAAGCATCTCATCAGCTTGTCGCTCATCCACTCCACCTGAAGGACACAGGTGCCGTTTAGACAAGTTTCAACTGTGTTTTTTTTTTGTTAGAATCATCAAATGATTTACACTCATCTGGTTTGGAATTGCTAATCAAAAGTTATTTTCTGTCGTCGACTCTTGTACTGCATAGGAAGACAGAAGGCAGTGCAAACCCTCTTTCACATGCTCAGCTGTCAGTTCACTCACAGTGACATACAGGAGAGTAAATACCAAGTGGAGAAAGGGTGCGCCACACACTGATATCACTGAAAATCTGCAGGCACCCAAGAGTCATTGTTGTAAGCAAACTGAGGATCCCTTGCCTGAATCCCAGTCAAATCTCCTGGCCCTTAGCCAGTTATATACCACTCATTAAGGAACATCTGGCTAATGACATAGCTCAGACTCAAACTGCACTCAGAGCTAATGCCTTTACTGCTTGTGCCACTCTAGGAATCGGCATTCCTGTTTTTGTCATATAAGAGACAAGTGCGAAAGAACACTGCAGAGGAGAAAGAGTTCATGAATTATTCTTGGACGGATTATTCTCATTTAAAAAAAGATACCAACTCTTTGCCTTTGAAAAATAATTCTTCATGCCAACATACTGACATTGATTTGGATGGCAAAAGAACATAAATGCAAGAGCTTTAGAGAACAAATAAAGAAAATCATTTTTTCTGTTCATATTTCAGTTTTTCAAAGTATGTTTCTCAGTTACACAAAGTGCTTTTACTGAATAATTTCCTGTGAATTTTTTTTACTCTTCTTGATTTTTTTGTTCTCTTTGGATCAATAAAAATAATGAGATTTTACACTAGCCAGCAGCTAACCTTAGCAACAAACAATAAAAAAACTATTTTCTGTACGAGTTATGGGATCAACATGCGTCATGGAGTTTCTAATAGAAAACTGTCTTAACAGAAATCTTTAGGCACACTGTAATACCCCCATGCATTTTGTTTTATACAGTAAATAAAAAAACTAAATGAAGCTGAAAGAACAAGCATTATATAACTTCTTGCTTAAATAACCAAATAAATCTGGTCAATTTGCAGGTGCAGCAGTACAAGTTAGAGTTTCTATGGTACTGCTGTGAAATACTGAATCTCATACACAACTAATGCATAAAACAGTAAGTGTCTTAGAATGAAAGATGTGCCAACCTGTGATTTAGAGAACTCCACTACATTGTAGCTGACATTGTTTAGCAAGGCAAGAGAATAGACGCCCAGTCCTGCATCCTTTGTCCTCCAGATCTGATCCAAGAGCTGAGCCAGCTCCAGAACTCTCCCAGCTGTGTCCACAGCAATCAGCACATTGCCATCTCCCCGCAGAGTCTCCATTACATTGGCTAGGGTGACACAGCACAGTGTTAGAAAGCACGACAGACTACGATTTCCTTGACTATGCTTTTTAGGAATAGAAGACAATACTATGAAAAAAACCCTTTAGCCAATAAGAGCTTGACTTTTTATTCAATTCTATCTGGAACTGAAAAAAAGCAGTTCTTTACTAGATGCTAAAGTATTTACATAGCTCATATTTTTAAGACAAAGACTACAGCACCCCTTTCCTCTGGTGAAAAAAGTGGCCTAAACAAACCTACTTCTAACTTCTGTGAAAATATTCCACAAAATGTAATTGTGAATCAGGAATGTTCACATAACTTTCTATGATTTCAACTTTGGATTTACCCAATGTCAAATAATTCAAAAACCTAGAAAAAATTTAATTATATAAAAATTATATTACTAAAGTACCTGAAGATATAAACTAAAAATGAGTAAATTCTCATATAGGGTCATTTGTAAAAAAAAATGTATTCAGTTCACAAAGATTTGATATATGAATGCTGCTTTCCCAAAAGCATTTCTACAAAATAAGACTAAATCAGATCTCAGTATCACAAACCATGCTAAGTCATTCAGGATAGAAACTTTTATTCAAAATAAGGACTTGATTTAAAAAACGATGCATACTTAACAACTGCTCATCTCTCTGTTTTCTTCGAGGCTGGACATATGTAGCATTGAAGGAATCTGTGATCAGCAGAGATGGCCGGGTCAAGATTTCCAAAGAGCATCCATTCAAATGGCTGAAGAAAAGAGAGGCTGATTAGAATCTCTTTACGTAGGCTGGGCAAACGATTTTTAAAAATTTAAAAAAATAAATAAAAAATGAGATATAATGATGTGTTCCTGCTTAACTTAGACATTGCACGACTTTAAAACATATAAAAACAGGTTTTGAGAGTTAAAAACCACTTTTTATGCGCAAAAAATGGGTGATTTTTCTTCCTCGTGATCAGCTCAGAATCTTTGTGTACGCTGTAAGGTTTT